AATTGAAATGAGGCTGGCAATAATAAATAAATAAATAAATAAATAAAAATAGCTAGCATCATTTCAATTATTTCATGCAAATAATTATTATGTTATGGCTGATAACAAAAATCTATAGTACTTTCTAGAAAAAAGTTATAATTTAAATTAGTCATCACCACACGATGATGTAAAGTTCAAAAGGTTAACTAATTCTTTTGACATACATTTAAAAAAAAAAGTATATTCAGTAATAGAAAAGAGAGACCCCTGGATTGCAGGTTAGATCCCTTAAAAACAAAAAGTTAGAGAATCAACCTCAGAGACTAATAACCAATAGGTCTGAGTGAATAATTAGCTATTATACTCGAGAGCTCTGAAATGTTTTACTGCACAGACACATTTCATTGTATCAAAATAATGGTTCATTCATTGAATATAGCCGTTTTGTACTGCATTGTATTGTATTTGCGCCATTAGAAATGACCAATCACATTGTCAGAATAGACATTACGTATTTTATAATCCTAAAAATGTGTTCCATTATGTACATTTTACATTGTCGGGACATAGTAGTACAAAAGGAAATGATGAAGTACGTTTTTTAAATAAAATGTCAGAAACCCACGCATAAATCCTGGTCTTACTGAACACTTGTAGTGCAATTACTGGGGATAAGAGGGAAGTGTATGACTGAGGCATGTCATAGGCAGCATCACTGGAGTTCTGATGCAGATCCCCGTGATGACAAAAGACCCGTCTTTATCTCAATACACAGAGAGATCACAAAGCCTGCGCTATAGAATTAACACAAGGATTACAAAGGATGCATGATGTGGAGTCTTTAAGCGAACTAATTTAACTCACAAATGCACAGTAATCTCGGCAAAAAGTAAGCGGGAATAAAAGACTTATGCTTCAGTACGTGCGCAATCACTTCTTGTTTATACAAAATACCAGGGTGGTGATTACAAGCTTTGTTCTAGTTCACCGCTGATGAGAATCAAATCTTGCTAGAAATAATGTGCAGAGATGGAGTCTAAACAGCAAAATTTAGCAAAACAAAATAACAAGCATGCTGAACTGATCTGAATTAATTTCATATGGGTGTATATTAAATCGTAATGGGGTAACACTTTAAAGTTCAGTTTGTTAATATTAGTTAATTCATTAGGTATCAGATACAATGAGCAGCAATTGTTTACAGAAACTATTACTGTTATCGTAAATTCAGAAATGTTTTATCGTTAACTCAATTTCTTTCAATGTTAATTTATAAATGTATAGGCCTATGTAGAAAACGACAATAACAATCAAAAATGCTTTCAAAATAGCATTCACTGTTAGTTCATTCAACCTAATCGTATTATAAAGTGTTATCAAGATAATTTGAATGTTTCTATGGGTTTGTAATGTCTTAAAATGTCCCAACTACACTTACTTTCAAAGGTTTTTTCACTGTCTTTCACACAGCCTCTTCAAATGTCTTACCTCCTGACACGTTGTTACACTCCAGTTCTCTGTGCTTCTCTCCCACCTTCCGAAACGTGTGACAGCAGCACAACAAAGGTTAATCAACTCTCTTGTTGTGCCCCCGCCCCACCCTCTCTCGCGTCTCTGACAGTAGTAAACACTATGGCTTCGCTCACTCACGCTCCACAAGCAGAGAAGAGGAACTAGAGGTGAGATGTGTGTTTGTGTATGCACAGAGGAGGAGGCGCACAGTATTCTCCAGTGTCTTTTATTGCTGAATCAGTGTTAACCCAAAGCAGAGGTGACATTGCTGCATTTTCGCCCAGGCAATGAGACAAGTCTGCACACAACATTGCTCCATATTGTGTTCCTCTTTTAAAAAAATAAAACTTTGCTGGTCCATTTAAAGTCACAATGAATTTTAAATTGAAAATTAAACCTTTCATTTTTTTTTCTTTGTGTTTTCTGTTCAGTTATTCTTTGATTAGCAATTTAACAGATTACTAGGATTGAGCAAACTTGAAAAGCACTTTTAATAAGAAGAATAAAGTTAAAATTATTAAATAAAAAGGGTCGCAAATGCATTTGTAACGTCGACATTGAGAGGGCAATAATGGGCATTTTAAAATTACGAATTTTTTCATATCTGATCAGCCTATATACAACTTTAAAACTCATGATAAAAGGCGGTGTAGTAGTGCTGACGTGACCAAATTAAGTACAAAATGAATCTGTCACTGTTGTCATATTTAGCTAGAATGATGGTGTCAAATTAATATAGGCTAGTTATCTGCAAGACACTGTTCTGAAAGAGCTAGTAAAATATTCACACAAAGACTACCACAAACTGTCTGCACTCACAGCTCAACTCTGTCTTTGGTTAGCATATTTGACAACATACTGACTGACAGATCAGTCTGATTCTTGCTCGCATTTTAATAAAGGCGGATTATGTGTTATCAGTTTAACAAACTCACAGACACACAGGAAGCTCACTGCATCTTCTCTCACACTCACCAGGAGCGACTGAGCACTGCTGAACTGCCGCCAATAGATGTACAGTACAACCTCTGAATTATTCTCTCATATCCAGCTCTCAGTGGCCCCTGCGACTGGCTGGCTAGGTGCACTAAAAATGATAAATACTGGATCTATCAGCTTACATTTGGAGAACAGCCACCTAATTGGCAATTAAAGCAGATAAAAAATGTCTGTTGTACTTGTACTCTACACTCAGTATAGAGATAGAGATAGAGATAGAGCTATTCAGTAAGACCAAAGCAGCTGTATTTAACCGCATTGTTCTATTCCCCTGCATGTTTCATGGCATTCCTGTTTGGCGAAACTGAGTTATTCTTCAAGTAAAGTAGAATCAATACAGTCAATGAGGATTGGATTTACAGAGGCAGAAGGGACAGCAATCTGGTGTGTGTTACAGAACCAAGCCAACAGGTCAGTGGCGTGTAATGTATCCTAAAATTGTTTTATAGCCCCAAATAATTCAGACCAAACCAACCCTATATTATCTTACATTATCTGTACTGAAATTACTATTTCATATACCCTTCTATACAAGTGACCTAAATCAGGGTGTGCAAAACCAACCTAAAACATCGGTTTACACACACAAAGACATAATGGGGGTTTTCACATTATACAATTATAGGCGTAATAATTTAAAAAATACGATTTTAAATCAGTCATCATCCATCATGCTGGCTAGAAGAAAAGCAGCAGCTAAAAACAACAGTATATCACAAAGTTTTCATTTAGACCCTAAACATTCATATTAACTTAACAATGACATTATTGAGAATGAGGAGTTGACGTCATTTTACAGTGCCCCTCCCCTTTCCGCCATGTTGGTAGGTTTCCCACGGCAAAACAGTATTGATTACGTGTGTTTTTAGCTCGGTAGTAGAGGAGTTTCTCGCAATACCGCACTGTTTTACCATGCCTGGAAGTAACTGCTGCGTTAAAAACTCCTCCAGTAACTCACACGATACATTTGGAAAACATAGAACATGGAATTAAGTTTTTGGGGTTACCGAAATGGACACAGCAGGGAGAGTCTAACCTGATGAGAAGACGCCGGATTGCTGGGTTTGCTGATGCCTTTAGTATACGATTGTTATTGGTCACTGTTTGCTGTGCCTTAACGAACATATGCAAAAGTGTTGTTTGAGTGCCTTGTTCATTACTTTTTTATTTCATTGAAATAAATGTTTGAAACAACTTGATATGGCTTAACAATATTTATTGAGAACTGAAATACATAGGCTATTTGGACAACATAAGTTTCATGGACAACATAAGTAATAATAATAAAATAATAATACTGTTATTAGTGAAAAAGAATAAATATATTGATGCTGCTTCTCCAAATACAGCTGTTTTGCAATTTGTGTGAGTTTGTTCCTGTAAGGTCCCTTTTCTTTCGCTTTATCTTTCAGCATTGCTTTACTTTCTTCCTTTTTTCTCGTATTCTTAGATCCGTCTCTGTCCTGCCAAAATAATAAATGCACGAAAATTTAAGAGCTCTGGAACGTTTAGTCGCGTATATGTGTTCTAAAGGCATTGCCCCTGGTAACCGATAGCGTCTCCTACCATCATGGACGACCGGCTCAGACCCTGCCCAAATAGGCACGTGACTCCTCATTCTCTATATGACCCCTTTAAAAGAAAAAGGCTGCCTGTTTGAGTAGACTGCCACATCAGAATATAGACTAAGCAATAAATAAACAAAAAATATGGTCAGCTATTTCAGAGCATAGAGCAACATCTACCAAGCTCCACATCTACCAATTTAACCTTTGAGTGAGACATTCAGACTGAATTTACCTGTAATAAAATCAGCAATGAAATTACTATGCTACAGGCATCTATTGACTCCAGTCATATTTTCTTTCTGAATTGCTTGCAATGATTGCAGTCTTGCTTTATGGTGGCTGAAGATTTTTCTTTTAACTGGAGAAAAAAAAAAAATCACCCTTCCCATAGAAATCAATGGTGACCGCGATCGCCCACACCCTACATTACAACTATAGTAGCCTGTGCAGTATTGCAATGCTGCGTGTCATCACTAAGTAAGTTATCGTTTAATTAATTTCGTACTTTATTTAATAAATATTTGCCCTTTTTTCTGATTCTTTATCATTAAAACTTTCTGTCGAAACCCAAAACGGTATTAAAAGAATTGACAGAGCTATAAAGAAACAAATGTAATGGTTAATGGTTCGCGTCAGTTTATTGGACTTCCGTTCTTGCACACCCTGTGTCATATGGCAACACACAAAGCGTTGTTTCTGGCTGCACTAACTGCTCTATACCATGAATACAGTGCAGTTCAAGTGACAGAAGGGGACTCTGGGAGTAGGAACCCGCCCCTTCGGCTCAGTCTCCACACTAAAGTAACCGCATTGTTAAAAACAGAACACTGCAACAGCTTCTCCACTGTCTTCCTGCCAAGTGGCTCGCTCGGCCACCGCTGTAGATGACCGAAACAAAACACTGTCTCCATGCATGCTGATTGATATAACTGCACTCACCTATTAACTTGGTCGCGTGTCTTTGTTCAACAATCTCCCGATCACAGCTAAGTTGCTTTCGATTTGGCTCTCGCAGAAGACACTCCAATAAATCTGTTTTGATGTTTGAAAAAAAAGTTTCAGTTCCAAAATCGAGCTTCCAAAGACCCTCGGCGTGTGTCGAGGCTTCGGGAGCGTGTGAGTGACAGCTGGCTTCATCAATGTCATTGACTGCTGTCTAGCTGTCGCTCACGGGTCTATATCCGAGCAAGCATGGTTCTGCCTCTTATTTTGTTGAATTGTGTTCGAGCTTTATGGCGCGACGGAATCTCCGCATCATTTCAGTCTCTTGTGAGTCAGTTTGATGGCATATATCTGCCCCATCCCTCTTTCTCCCTCTCTTCCGCACTGCTGACAGATCCCCGACCGAGCGAGTGAGCCAGAGCAACTGCAAACACTACAGCCCGTCACACATGGTCACGGTCATCGGCTCCCGTTTACGAGCAACGCTAAAGATCAGTCTGCGAATTACGGGGAATTCATTTGCGTCTCTTATCATGTGTAACATTACCACGCTGGCTGAAAGCTTGAATGAACTTCACGATCCATCAAACATTTCCCTGTATTTTACTATGGGCGGGTCCTAAAGCCCGACGGGTTCGTGGCACACTAGTCTCAGCTTCAGACGACACGCCCACAGCCTGCTCTCTAATGTCTTTTTCATACTGCACACAAAACTGAAAAACTCTTTCTGATCAAATCTAACTGATGAGCATTACACAAGGTCCAGGACACACAGGTGTTTTTTATATCACCATGGAAACTAGGTTGGTGCTGGATAAGTACTTTTGAAGTTGTGAGAAAAAAAAAAGGCTGGTTTATTTTTTAACCCAAATGCTGGTTCAGCCTGATGGGTCATTGTATTGGCTTATTTTTTTATGTTTTAATTAAAACATTAAAGGTATAGCGGAGAAATTTTTTATGGGTGGGTACTATTGGTCCACCCAGTGTCAATCATTCTGGTGATATGTTTACGTAAGGCCGTCGTTGTGCTCGTCCCTATATAGTTTTCACTTCCAGGTGTATAATGTGTGATAAGTTACGGTTTCAGCCATTCCTTTCAGCCATTCCTTTGAAAATGGCTGAGGGTCGAACGGGAAAAAATGTATACGAAGTGTATGATAAGAAGAGAAAGGCTGCAGAATATAGAAACAAGACCAGAGTGATTTTGGGTAAATATTCAGCCTGTTCTCATCCTTTAGCGTCATATAGGTGACTCTATATGACAAAACGGCTAAATACTATGCACACGGCACCCTTTATCGTTAATATAACACACGAACTCAAGACGTCATAAATCCTTTAGCGTTAATATGAGACTATCCTACCCTACCCCACACCTAAACCTACCCATCACAGCGCGTGTTATATTAACGATAACGGGTGCCATGTGTGTAGTATTTCGCCGTTTTGTCATATAGCATCACATATGTAGCTAAAGGATGAGAATGCGTTGGAATATTTCACATGCTGGCGTGCGCTAAAAGCACAGGTTGGGCTTCCCACTGATGCCGCAGTCGCGAAGATTCTACTAGAGGGGTAAAGTTTGTCATGCTATTTGGAGAAATCCATTTAAAATCACTGCTTGTAAAAGTTCATGTAAGCTATGATTAGCGATGCTAGCCCTGGCACAAGTCATGCTCCGCGTAAACACGGTAAACATCTCAATTTGTCGGAAGTAGCCTTTTGACCAAATGGTAAATGTTATCACGCTGAAATATTCTAAAACCTTGTGTGTTCATTTTCGATAATTCCAATGTGTTAAGTTCTGTTAACCATAGTATTATTACACACATGCAACAAGCTACTTCTCCATTGCATATCATTTGAGTCCTCGGTCACTCAATCGATCAGTATAATAAGTAAATAAAACACGGAAGGGCATTTGACATTGTGTTTTTTTATGAATGTTTTTGAGTTAGTTTATAATTTTCAACATAATTGTGTAAGGCGTAATAGGCATTCCCTCTCGGGAGCAAATAGTGTTGTGCATGTGCATTTTTTTTTTTTTTTTAAATGGAGAGGACGGGTCTTCTCTAAAATTCAGAAAGATCCTCTGCTATACCTTTAATTTCATTTATTTTTATTTTTTTTAACATTTCCCCCCAGGTCGTTTTTCTGTAACACAGCTGCTGTTTTTTCTTTTTTCTTCTGTATGACCCCCCTCACATACCTACCCAGTGATGGGTCAATGTAACCTAATGTTGGGTAGTCTGGGCCAAACCGGTTAAAACTGGATACATTTTTCAACTGTGATTTTGTTTTCTGTTCTAAGAGAAAACATCATGGAAAACTTCCTGAATGAAATTAAGGTTTGTATTACGTTATTCTCTTTCCAATTATTACTGTACAAAAAGGAAAACGTTTGTAGTCTTACATTTTTCCATTTATGTTTATATGTACGTTGCAGGTAATGCTTGTTTGGAAAGCTAGCCAAACAATGTGTCGGCGCCACCATGGAATTTTCACCTCCTGTCAAGCAAATGCGATATGTAAACTGTTCTTATATGAAAAACTGTGTGTGTATATATATATATATATATATATATATATATATATATACTGTATATACTGTATAGTATATACACTGTATATACACTATACCGGTCAACATTTTTAGATCTGTAAGATTTTTTAAAAGCAGAAAGATGTCTCTTTCTTGATAAAAAAAAAGTAATATTGTGAAATATTGTGACAATTTAAAATGACTGTTTTCTATTTAATATATTTTAAAATGTAGTTTATTCCTATGGCAAAGCTGATTTTCAGCATCATTACTCCGGTCATCAGTGTCACACGACCCTTCAGAAATCATTCTGATATGATTTGGTGAGGTCAGTTACGGTTTATAAGTGGGGCTTAGGGCTTCGCAAATGTTTAGTGTTGTATGAAAAGCCCATGAGTATCCACTAACCTTTATCCTTCGCTCTGTCCCTTCCTCCCATCTCACTTTCAGACTGGAGATGGCGTGAATGATGCCCCTGCCTTAAAAAAGGCGGAAATTAGCATCGCCATGGGCTCAGGCACCCACTCAGGCTGATTTTATGCTCCAAAAACATTCATTATTATTTTCAATGTAGTAAACAGTTGTGTACAATTTTTTTTTTCAAAATTCTTTGATGAATAGAAAGTTCAAAACAGCATCTATTTAAAATATAATCTATTCTAACATTATAAATGTCTTTACTGTAATTTTTTATCAATTTAACTCATCCTTGACATTTTTTTAAATTTATTTCTTTAAAAAAAAATCTTACTGACCCCAAACTTTTGAAGGGTATAGTGTTTAAAGTTACAAAAGCTTTCAATTATAAATGCTGTTCTTTTGAACTTTCTATTCATCAAAGAACCTTAAAATAAAAATGTTAAAAAAAAAATGTTTTAAACGGATAATAATCATAAATGTATGAGCATCAAATCATCATATCAGAATGATTTCTGAAGGATCATGTGACACTCACTGGAGTAATGATGCTGAAAATTTAGCTTTGATCACAGGAATAAATTATACTATATATTCACATAGAAAACAGCTGTTTTAAATTGTAATAATATTTCAGAATCTCATAGATGGTAAAATGTTCATAACACACACACATCCTACATTGCAGTATCATGGACTACATTTAGTGCTACATATAGTGGTCATCAGTGTATTTATACACAAATTGGACACACAAAGTATCCTGAACATAGCAGGAATAATCTCCCACCCCTGAGACTGTAAAACTAAATGAAAGACAACCTGATCTAAAGCTGTAATACATGCTTGAAACTTGTGGAAGGCTATAGCTAAACAAACAACATTATGTTTGAGTCTATAAATTTCAGAGGCAAAGCCATCATGCCCCATGGGTAATGACAAGTGAGTTCATTTATTCAAAGGTCAAACCCATCTGTTCCTTTTACTTTTGCCTATTACAGACTAATCTGAGTCTACAAGATGGTCTGATATAAGTAATGAGCGGTGAAGTAAGCGTGTGCATATGCCAGCAGCAATAGAGGCTGTGTTGCATCTAGGTACCCATGCTGACTGAGCAAGGAGCTTTAAAAAGAAAAAACCTTTGTCTTGAGGGAGAGTTTGGAGATCATCATCATTGCACTTGCCATGGTGCTAAAGGTGCAAAGAGGACATACAATCAAATGCACAACTGCTTTTATGTATCTCTCCCTCTCTCTCTCACACACACACACAAAACGAATTCACTTTTAGACACACAAAAACTCATTGTACTGTGCAATTTTCTATTTTCCTGCCGTTTCTCTGTCACCTTTTACCATCTATGACTGTATCCTTGCGAGCTCCATTCATTCTTTTCATAAAATACTCTAAATGTCTGCTGTTGAGTTTGCTATGACTCATACCAATAATTTACACCAATCCTCTTAATATACTCTTATTGCCACTAAATCGAGGGGAGTGAGGTGGGTAATACACAGAGAAACAAGAGATAGATAAGGAGGTCGAAAAAAAGATGGAAGAGCAAAGGAAAGTGGGATTGGATTGCAGAGTGATTTATCAAGCTGAAGGAAGAAGAAATCGGAAAAGCCACGATTACAACAGGGACAAACAGGCAGCTTTAGAAATCTATGCATGCATGTCTGAACATTGTGAGAGAGAGTAGAAGAAAAGGCAATATGATGGGATTATTGCATCATTTCTCAGAGCAGCCTCACAGATTAGTATAAACTATAATATGTGGCCCTTTATTTTTATCTAAATGAAGCCAAGAATGACAGTGAGATCCGTATGATCAAATACACATTATGGTTTCCACAAATGGACAATTAGTCAATGATATCGACACACAAAAAAAAAAATCAGAAAAAAATAAACAAAACAGAAATTTTGAAAAAGAAAGCTTAATTATGCAGTTCAGTAAGTTAATAATATGTTGATTCTGTAAATGCTCTGTTCAGTTCAGTGAAAGCACCAATTCCCAAACCAGTAACTTGTCTTTTTGAACTTTTAATTAATAGAACCATGCAGCATTCCTTCAGAAATCACACACTGGTCGTACTGTATCTGTATGCCTATGTTTTCAAATCACTAAAAAGAACCAGCTCATATAAGAGTCATTCGTTTGGGAATCAGACTACACTGGTTACAATGTTTTTGATTCAATAAAAAGAACCAGCACATAAAATACATTAGTTTAGGAATCAGACTTCAATGGTTGCACTGAATATTTTTGAAGAACCAGTTCATAAAGTAACTATGAATCGGACTACGCTGGTTTCACGGTGTGTTTTTGATTCACTAAAAAGAATCGGCTCATACTTGTTTGGGAATCAAACCATAGTCTTGCTGAATGTTTCAAATCTAAAAAGCAGTGGTGTAAAGTTGGCTATTTGAGTAAATGTAGTAGTTAGTATCTTCTTTTTGGCTACTTTGCAATTTGGCTGACTATCAAATATAGATATTAGCCACTTTTACTCTTTACTTGACTAGATTTTAGGGTACTTTCCTGTTATCCGGACCCCACCATATACCATTTAGGAACTATAGTCATCCCTGATTGGTCTTAACCCCAATGATGGGTAGGTTTAGGGGCGGGGTTAGGGGTAGGCCATCATCCCTGATTGGTCTTAACCCCAGTGACGGGTAGGTTTAGGGGCGGGGTTAGGGGTAGGCCATCGTGGGGTCCATATAACAGGAAAGTACCGATTTGGGAATACGGATAGCTTAATTCAATATGCAACATTTGAGATGAGTAATGCAAATTACTCATTACATTTTGCATGGAACCTATTTTTTTTCTGCAGCAGTTTATTTCTGCTGTAGAGTGGGTAAAACTGTTTTTAATGGCAGGCTAGCAGTTACCATTGACTCGCGCTAGCCTAGCACCGGCGAACTATGCAACTGGAACGAATGGATGAAAATTTTTGAAAAAACTGTCTCCACTGATAATTAACACTAAGTCTAACTTGGAAATGAGGCCCGATGTCCAAAATCCTGAACCAACCCTTTAAAATAGCTTGAATGTAACTCTACACCCTTGCTTCATTTAGAATAAGTTGTTCTATGAATGTGCAAATTAGCCCCACTCTTTTACTCGATCACACATTGACGTGATTGGTTACAATGTAGTTTGTGATGTCAAAAACACCAGCGATTTCAAACAGTGTTTTTGAGACTGCCTTTGTTTCACTGCAGTTTTAAAGAAAAAATACTCAGCAATGGTGTTGATTTGCACATTATTGCACAGTATTGTCTTAAAGCATATTAAAACACCACACAGCCATATGAACACCATTAAAAACCTTTTTAAAAACCATATTTTTTTTTCTTTAAGTACAGAGTTCAGGTACTCCTTACACCTCTGCTAAGGAAATGGCTCATAAGAGTAATTTGTTTCTTTTGTTATCGTGAACACTCATACACTGTGCAGTTATCTAAAAAGTGGTCTAAAGATAATGATTGTAGATAAAATACAGACTAAAGGCGGTGTTTAGTTAAAGACCAGATGGCACAGATAACATCAACATTCAGATGAATTATAAGCTCATTATTAACGGAAAACAAATGATGCCGCTGAATCACTCACACCTTCTCTGACTGAGCATGCAAAATCTTTGTTTAGATGGGATTAGTGATATTGATAATGATTTTAAAGGTATGGTTCCAAATATATTACATCTGAATATGGTCAGAGATGGAAAAACAGAGATGAGGAATATTAATAATGTGCAGTTATTTATATTGAATAAGGTGTTTAGTTTAATGCCTATTAAAGGACCATAGCTAGCGTGGGAAAAAGAATAAAGCAAGTATTTAAAAAAAAAAAAAAAAAAAACAGGGATATTTTATAATGTGGTTCTGGCATACTGTTGTCTAATCCTTATATTAGACATTAAATGTGCATTCTACCAATGTAAGATATTCGCTAAATTTTACAGCAACATTAAAAGAACATTTCACTAGGAATGCTAAATATTGTCATCATTTACTCACCCTCATGTTGTTCCAAACCTGTATGGTTTTCTTTCTTCTTCAGAGAAAAAAAAAAAAAGATATTTATAAGCATGTTGGTACAGTCCAAACAACAGAATTCATTGAATTTCATGTTTTTTTTCCTTTAAAATAACTTATTTTGTGTGCCTCACATAGGCCCTAAGGATAACCTTTTTTTGCTGCTGTCACCTATGGTCTGCTCCTGAAACCTGGAGCCCTTATGTCCATAAGTGTCATGAGGTGGAGGATGAACCCAAGCGCAAACAGATTGCTAGACACACGATTTGTTTAAGAACAGTAACCAGGGAAAACAAATACCCACGAGGGGGCAAAACATGTACAGGACAACGAGTGACTAAACTAGTCTATGACTGACAATAAACTAGACAGTAAACAAAACAGCAAACACAGAATCAGAACTTCTCTCTAGGCATTACTATTGACAAATACTCACAGAGGATCACAAAATGTTTCGCAATGAACCGGCACGGGATTATAAAGGGGAACACTATACGAGGACATGTGAAACTGACTAGACAATAATGACAAGACGGGGATAACAAGGGGGCGGGGTAACGTAACAAACAAAACAAGCACATGGCCCAAACTGGCATGCGCTTGCACAGAAAACATGATTCTGTCATGATCCTGCCTCACGACTAGAGAAAATCAAAGACAAGAAGGCAGAATCATGACAATAAGTCCATAAGTTATTAAAAAGACTATGGCTATTTTAATTCCACGAATGTTGGGAGGATTTAAAGTATTGCTATGCGAAGTTAACAATTGACTACTGCAATTGACAACAAACTGTCACTTAAGTCTTCAATTGCATTTGACGCACATCTGAATATGTACTGTAGTATTTCAAGAACAATGCATGTATTTTGCTTGATGTTAGATGAGGTTGTTCACTGAATTCCAAAGTCTGTTACTTGCCGTCTATTTTTATGCTGTCTGGATCTGGTTTCTGCCCATCAGTTAGGTCTTAACAGACATTTAAATCTCAATGGGAACAAGCTAATTAAATAATGGTTTAATATAACTATACTCAAGTTAGACAGACGTCTTGCGATTTAAACTAATAAACCCATGAAAGACAGGGGTCAGGGTTCCTACACATTTTCCATTTTAAATTTCCAAACATCCCTGTAGATTTTTCAAACCATTCTTTACATTAATGGTTCATGCAATATTTTCAGCATTATATTTGGTACGTAGTCATCTGTAAATATTGTATTTTTTCTGTTTTTTAATCATCGGTTTTCTTGAATGGATAACATGTGCTTAGTGCTTATGCACTCAAAAAAATGCTGGGTCATTTCAACCCAAATTTGGGTCAAATATGGACAAACCCAAATGTTGGTTTAAAAATGTACAGTCGAAAATGAAAGTTGGGTTACATTTTTACTCAACATTTGGATTTGTCCATATTTGACCCAAATTTGGGTTAAAACAACCCAGCATTGTTGTGATGAATGAAAACCTAAGACACTTTATAACCTGCGTATAATAACCTCTGACACATCACCAGTCACATGTGGTTTGATGCTGCACAATCACCAGACAGCAAATTACATTGTAATTGAAATGATTGTTTGCTCTTTAGCTGTTCCTGGTTTGAGTGGCATTTGAATAAACATTCTTTTTTTAGAGAAGTTCTGCTGATGGTAGACAAACAGATTTGCATATAAAATAAAAAGCAAAAGAGCCTTAAAATCTTACTGACCCCAAAACTGTAATGCATTTATAACTGAACCATATAATGTTGAAATTAAGTTATTTACAGTGAAAAGTCCTTTGATTCCAACAAAGGTGTTTTGGATTGAAAATCTAATCGTTTCATTTGCAATCAGGTGAGCTTAGAAACATGTACTGCCTCAATGAGGGTTGTCCGAGTAGCCTACACCAACAACACCATATCTCCATGGTTTTGCTGTTTCTCACTGCCAGACTTCATTATGTGGAGATCTTCTCTGGTTCCTCCAAATCCTCTCTCGACAGTACCAGCGGATTTAACCGTTCCTCTCCACTCAAACCCAAGCCTATCCGTCTAACATGTTGACGGTGATGACTTACTTGATAAACGGTGGAGAACTATGAGTAAAGGCAACTTGAAGTTGAACATATTTCAATAAATGGTAAAAATGACTAATTATAATTATATAATATCATTCAGCATCTCACTGTGCCTGTGTAAGACAGGTTCCAATGTGACTGTGAGGTGAGCAATAAAATTACATTACAGTGTCACCTGGTGGTAGCTAGTGTTCATTGCAGCCACAAATCCAGACTGCACATACAGTGATCTGGAAGCGCAAAAAAAGAAAGAAAAAGAAAGCAGAACAACAGCGTTGAAATAAATTATAAGATAAATAATCTTTATTTGACATGTCTTTTCATATATATAAAATTATGTATCCACAATTAATATTACCAAGGCGTTTACAGAGAATTCTTTCTCAGTAGTGGGTGCAAAGCTCCAGCCGGTTTGTGCGCAGGCAGAAAGACAAGACAGCTGTCCACAACGAACGGATCATCTCAGGACCACTGTGCTCGAGAGCGAATGGAGGGAAACGTCACCACAATCTTTTGTTTGCTTTTTTGATTGTAAGTTCAAGTACGTTTCAGAATGAAAACATTCAGTATTGTTTGATGATAACGGCATGAAGCAGAAGCACCAACAAAAAGAATTTGTAAATGGAATTGAAAAAGATTTACAAAGTGGACGTCCAACTTTCTGCATAACACACAGACATTTTATATCTCTGGAGGCACGTGTACCCACACCAAGCCCTTCATAAGCCAGTATTGATGACTGGACCACACGATGTTCCTTTACCAGAACAGTCAAACAAACAAAACGGACAAAAAAGGAAAAACCCAAGTCCTCGGACATTCAAACCCATTTATAGTTGCCAAAAATTATCATTAGCACAATTCTTATTTTTATTTTACAACTCTTAAGCTAAATTGAAAAGACACAGAAACCCCTGCAACCTTTAAAAACAAACGGTAACAATAACGGCAACGGTAACAAACTCTACTATTCTACAAAATATTCTCCATCTTCAGTTACTTGAATGCAGAGAAAAAAAAGAAGTAGTTTTGGACTGTTTTCTTCCGGGTGGTGATGTTTCATTTAAGTCGTTATTAAAAAATTAAATATACTGTATAGGTTATTAATTACAGTAACAAGTTTCCATGCAATCAGGTATTTCAATGTTTTTCTTCTGTACAGAGTTCAAGAGATCAGTAGTTATTAGCAAGGCTGTACAAGCCAACACGTTCTATTGGCGCAGATACTAGTGTGATGAAAATGAGCGGCCTTGCTGCCTCGTGTCAGTACGCTGACCCTAAAGATATATGGTAATACGTTGCCATTGGAATAGCTAAAGGTGTGAGACAGGGAGCTTGCCTCTTTTAAATAGCATTTACATCACTCACATTTATTATTGGCAAAACGGATGATTCTAGACTGTGGCGAAAGGATGCTCATAGCTAGCAAGCGGACAAAGACTCTTCACACTGCGGTTTTACCACGGCAAGCATAATGACACCAGGCACAGGCGTAGTTGGTTTGCCAATTTGTCTGAAAACAGCACACCAGCATTTCCCAACAGATCAATGAAGGCATATCATACCCTTAACAGCAAAACTGACAAACTAAACCACCTGGGTTCTTTCAGTCAAATACATTATTATTACTTTATTAAAAACAAAAACAAAAAAAGAAAGAAAAAGTAGCAGAATTCATCAAGATTGCAAGAAAAGCACTAGCGGTAAAGAGTCCTCCCTCTGCGGACATGTACGGCAAGCATGTAAGACCCACTGCGTAAAGGATGTTTGTGTGTTCATGATGACGACGATTTCAAACTCAACCAAAATGTAGAATATGGAGGACGAAAAACAAGAGCAAATGAAAAAATGCCATTTGGCAGCATACAAGTATTAAAGGATGAAAAGGTGCAGCTAAGGACTGCAGATCTTAAACAGCTGTGATTACTGTGATTTACCAGGATACAACGGTACAGGGAAGAAGCGAGTGAAAGTACATTCAAGTGAGAGCCCTTCACTCTGTAATGAGGGGGCAATGTGTTTGTGTTTGTGTGTAGGAGTGAGTCAGATAATGTTAAACAAGCAATGCTGTGGACCTCGTCTGCCCTTCACGTCAATGAACAAATCCCTTTCTTTCCTCCTTTTCTCTTTCAGAATATTCAAAACCTGCCATTGATTTTAATACTTAAAGCATATGACAGGCTGCTCCATGTCTGGATCGATTTACTTGCAGCAGATAGTTACTAGTGTTGTTCAACTGGAGTTCACTCTACAGGACAGAGGAGGAGAACTCTGGGATACATCCATTCACATGCTCACTTTGTGTTTACAAATGAAAGAATATAAATATTGTTTACAACATGAAAATAATAAGAAAAAGTTTTACAGCTAAAATTAATTCCTGGGCCTATTACACATTCAAGTGCAATAAAAAAAATCTGCTGCCAGGTTTGGCCTTGTGTAAACAGTTATCTAAAAGGAAATGTATAGCTAAGAGAAGGACCTCTCAGTACTGAAGGTGGAAACCCCGTATGTAAAGGAGAGAGAAAAAGAGAAACTGGAGTTGAGCACTTAAAGAAACTGGCCATTCTGTCCAAACAAACATTCACACGTTAAAAGTCGCCCATGGTACCATCTTCATCCTCTCTTTTTCAATTTCCGTCTAGCCAAATTATGATTCATCGCCCCCCTGTGAATTTAACCCGTAATACACAAATGTTTAACCTCAAACCCCCTTCTCCCTCAAGTGCACCAGTAACTGCTATACTATGTACAGAAAGTATTAAAAGCTAAAAAGCAAGATAAAGAAAAACAGTCACACAATCGACATGATTGAATTAGGCCCATGCACATGCTAGCACACAACACACACACACAGACCTAATGTCTCGCTCTCTTACAAACACGCACACACAAACACACACACACACACACACACACACACACACACACACTAACAAACTACAAGCCCTGCTTGTTTTAGTGGTGGCTGAACATGCAGCGGAGACACGAGAGGACTGATGATGAGGAGTCTGATGACGTGTGTGTGAATGTGTGAGCATGGGGTGCAGTCTTTAAAAGATCAGAGGAAATAGGCAGGTGGGCGCGTGTGTTCATGTGTGTCTGGAGGAAGTTGTCCTAGAATTTCAGCTGCCGACTCTTCCTGTACCTTTCCTCCTCTTCACCTGCAAAAGGCCAAAAATGACAGAGAGAGAGAGAGAGAGAGAGAGAGAGAGAGAGAGAGAGAGAGGTTTTTATAGTGCTTTCAGGAAATGAAGACCAAAAAAAAAAATAAAGGTGATTTAGAAATGGACAGACCATAGTTAAAGAGAATACCTTTTTAAAGATGAGAGGAGAAAGTTAAACTGCCGGAGGAGAAACAGATCAGAAGAAAGAGTCAATATAAAAGAGACAGAAGCATTGACTGGAATATTATGAACAGTCATATCAAGGACAGCAACAACACTTTAGCCACACAAAAGGAGGGAAGCATGTTCCTGTAAACAGGCTGTACCTTCTAAGTGGTGGCGGGAGATATACTTGAGTGCCTCATCCAATAGGATAACAGGAATTGAGATCTTGAGGACTACAATCCATTGGGAATAATGCAGTGGAGTTACCTGGAAGATCAGCTGGGAAACACAAGATAAGACAAAATGAGAAACATACTGTAACATGCAGGGATGCAATCTCATCAGGTGTGAAACAGTTGTCAAAGAGGTGACCCGGGGGGCATATCCCAGCTTTAAAATGTGCAGTTACAGTCCGTTTTATCAAAGAAACTTTAGGATGACCATGGCATTCTTTTGAATCAAAAAGCCTATGTTATCAGATTAATACATACAAAAAAATCTTCGGCCCATTCCTTCCACGGGGAGAGCAACACAACAACACATGCATGCAATTGCATTCATTAAGACATCTGATTAGTTAACCATAGTCATGTGATCAACTCTTTGAGACATTAAACATTCACCAATACATTTCCAAACTCAAAAACTTACATTACGCAACATTGGACTTTGTTTACAGTCAGTTTTACATGAAGATAAAGGGGGAACAACTCTTTTAAATCGCTACTTCAGTTATTCTGGAACTGATTTAACATGACTACACAATACAACTACTACCAATAGTAGTTAATTAATTAATTATAATAATATAATATAATATAAAAATTATAATTATTATTAACAGCAACAATACCAATTATTATTATTGCTTTTGTTGTTTTTAAAATATATGAAATATTAAAATATTTCATTTTATTTTATTAAATAACAAAAAGGAAAACAAACATTATTACTGTAATACTATTGAGCTGCAGAGTAAAACAAAATAGCATTTAATTATTATTATTATTGCATTGATAAAGCTTTTGGCGGTCTTCATTTCTTTGCTTCCAAACATTAAATCATATAACTTTTTTTTTTTAAATAACCACAGCCTTTCTTTTGCTGACAATAGATTAAGAAATTATAGTATAAATGTAGTAAATGATTGATGATTGTTTAAATGAGTTAATGATTCTCATTTTTGGGTGAACCTTCCCTTTAAATTCTTAAATATACATATACAAGTCTTCATATCTCCTATTAATCTTTATTTTTTTTTTTACATGTAGATTTTCTCCACTAGGTTTTTTTGAGGTTCAATCCATCATTTGTACCATTGTATAAAATGTTAAATCTAACTCTATAGTGACAGAAAAAGAGATATTTGACTCACCGGTAGAGGCTCCACATACAGGATGAGGAAGTGTAGAGACAAGGAAAGGATTATGGCTCCCAGCAGCCATATATTCACCCAGGGTGGCATCCTTAGCAGAGACTGATTCTCGGACAGACTGAATGAGAGATGAGCTGGTATAAATAAGTGATTTAAGACCCAAGGCACTGACTGAGACCAAGTAGTCATTTAGGTTATGCTCACAATAAAGAAAAATGGCATAATGCACTTAATAGAGGAACAGTCCTCCTGAGCAACCAGGCTGCAAATGCCTTGATGAAGCCCACAATAAATGACCTCTTGAAGGGATTCAACCTGTAACCTTTGAGGGACCAGCCCAGGCCGCAGACCACCAGTCTATGCCACTCATATTTTATTGAAGTGAGAAGAATGGAAGTAGCAAAAATGACAACAGCAACATACAAAATATATAAAACAATAACAACAAAAAAGATTTCTTTTAAGAAAATTAACTCGAGAGCTGTTACAGACCCAGCACAACTCAACCGAGACCTCTAAAATGTGCTTTAAAGAAACTACTTGGCATTGCATCAACTGTGTTTATTCAATATGTCTATCACCATGGTTGCAGATCTCACCTGTTAAGAGAGTTGAACATCTCTATGGTAACAAGCACAGAGAGAGCCATGGTGGTGGGGTAGCGTGACTCAAAGACCTCACAGTTAATGCCCTCAAACATGGGGTTGTCTTCTGTACACTGCATGAAGTGACGCTACAGATGAGAAAAAAACAAAAAACAGCAATATTAGCACCACTAGCCAACTTGAAGATCTTTAGCTACATTACAAATGGTGATCTTCAAGTGTTTGGTTTCTTAGTGGTTTCACAGTGGCTATTAATAATACAGAAAGGCTGCAGTACATCCAATAATATCAGATGCAAAATTTATAAGACCCATTGATGGAAATTTGACCCATTGATGGCAGTCATTGTGAACTCTGAAGGGCTTAGTTACGAAATTAAGACAGCCAAAATCATTAGCATTGCAATAATAGGTTGTTCTGCAAAATAATAATAATAATAATAACAATTATTGTAATTATGATAATGATGATTATTATTAATAAATACGTATTTTTTTACAATACAGATTAATAGTATTATTAAAAACAATAATAATTGTTGTTAATAATTATAAATTAACTATTATTCGTAGTAGTTCAGAGGTCAAACATAAACATAACGTACAGTATACGGTCTGACTGTTGACTCACCAGCTGATAAAAGGACACCTGTGGCCCCTCCTCATCATACAAATACCACCAGGTAGCAGCACTGACAGTACCTAGACCCACATATCCTAGAAAAACAAAAGTAAAAGCCTGTTAATTGGTTAATGGTAAGTTCCCTTACTTTATACAGTGGAAATCTGTAATAGATCTAATGGGACATTTCACATTTTACAGTAAAATACTTTTTAAGCTTTTGGAACTGAAATAGAAGTCATCCTATAATATGCAGTGAAAAACTGTAAATTGACATTCCCAGAGTTCTCTGTTTTCATTGGTTTCAATAACTCTTTCTTATGATGTTTATTGCATTATTTTAAGTGAGTGACCATGATGTCGTTTTTGTATATTATATATATATATATATATATATATATATATATATATATATAAAATTTCAGTAATCCTAGATTCTATGAATTATTGATTTCATAGAATATTGGGCTAACCTCCGATGGCCAGGTATCTGAAGAAGAGCCAGCCGGAGATAAGAGACTCCTTAGGATTTCGGGGGGGCTTGTCCATGATGTCCAGGTCAGGGGGATTGAAGCCCAGGGCAGTGGCCGGCAGACCATCCGTTACCAGGTTCACCCACAACAGCTGGACAGGGATCAAAGCCTCAGGCAGGCCAAGGATGGCTGTCAGGAAAATACTGTGAGAGAGGGGAAAAAAAGGGAACCCACATGAGTGTAAATGTTGTTGGGATACTGAAGCTCTAAACAAATAAGGCTCTCACTCACCACACCACTTCTCCCACGTTGGAGGAGATGAGGTAACGGATAAACTGCTTCATGTTGTTGTAGATGGCTCGTCCCTCCTCCACTGCGGCCACGATGGTGGAGAAGTTATCATCAGAGAGCACCATCTCGGAGGCTGACTTGGCTACAGCGGTGCCTGAGCCCATGGCGATGCCAATTTCCGCCTTTTTTAAGGCAGGGGCATCATTCACGCCATCTCCAGTCTGAAAGTGAGATGGGAGGAAGGGACAGAGTGAAGGATAAAGGTTAGTGGATACTTTAGTGGGCTTTTCATACAACACTAAACATTTGCGAAGCCCTAAGCCCCACTTATAAACCGTGACTGATCTCACCAAATCACACTGGCACTGATACTGATGTAATGATGCTGAACATCAGCTTTGCCATTATAAGAATAAATTACATTGTAAAATACATTAAAATAGGAAACAGCTATTTTAATTTGCAATCTTTTTTTACAGTATTATTGTTTTTACTGCATTTCTGAACAAATAAATGCAAACTTGCTGAGCATAAGAGGATTTTCTTCCAAAAACATTAAACATTTTTACCAACCCCAAACTTTTAAACAACTTGCTCCAAGATAGAAGAGATTTCATTTATGAAGAGATCGTGTTACCTTGTAATTTAACTATTTAAAGAACAATAAATTAAAATGTTTCATTCCAGAAAACACAAATCATATTCACAACATATTTATCACATCACTTACACATTTTACTGAAAACTCACATTGTTCTGGAAACTTCTGATTCACTTCTAAGGTATGTTCTGTAAAGTTTGTCTGAGTTAGCAACAGTAACCAAAAGGGTGTGGAGCTTATCAAAGGGTCAATTTAAAGTCTATTAGTTTATACGGTGGATTAAAGCAAAAATTGAATCCACATTGAGCTGACAGAACTAATGAGGTACATTTTAAATTCAAAAGGTACATTTTATTCACTCTTAGGTAAAAGCACATTACAGGCTGGGGATTAAACAGGAGTCAACTAGACTAGAGGATGAGGAAATCTCTCTTTTTTTTACTTCTGAAAAAAGCAAAACAGTGCTTCTTTTAAAGCTCTGTCATGCACACTGATGTCTGGGAAATACCTCAAGTCCCAAAACGACAAACAGACACATGCTGAGCTGAAGCAGCGTGAGAACAGGAAGAGCAGAGACATGTTCTCATAACTCCAGCAGGGAAAATCGGCATAAAATACAAGGTTGTCTGTCTCTGAGAGATATACAGTAGGTGCTGCAGCATATTATTGCTAAGAGACTGGAAAGTAGAATCAGAGACTTCATCCTTCTTACGATCCCAGATTGTATGATTGCCACCATTAATCGTATTAACAGCCCAAGTCTGTGACAACAATGATCACATGCTGTATTTAAAGTTATTCACTGGTGGTGGTAATGAAACATTTTATTTTACTCAAACCAAAAGTATAGTAATTCGATTTTGCTATAATATTGAATGTAAGGTTAATGCCTAATAATTCCTGGTCTCATGTTCATTTGAATAAAAAAGGTTTGAGGCCCTAAAATGAACTTTTTCCACACCTGCTAATTGGTGGGTGAATTGAGAAAATGTACTGGCCATGATAGTGAACTTACAGTACATCAGGAAGATCATCACACTATAGTTCTTACAATTCAATTCAACACATGTATTATGCTGCATGTTGTAGCTCCTAATAAAGTAACCAAATGATTTTTTCAAGTGAATTTTTTTACTACCATTTGGTGGTTGGTTAATGTTTATTTCGGACTCTCTTTTGGTGTTTCAACAGGGTTTTTTTGAGGACCTTTTGTGAAACCAGCCACTAACCACTATATCTCACCATGGCTGTGATCTCATCAAAGGACTGTAGATAAGCAACAATCTTTGTCTTGTGTGCAGGCTCGACACGGGCGAAGCACCGTGCCCTTTTCACAGCCTCTCGCTGGGCTTCTGGAGTCAGGTCATCGAACTCTCTACCCGTGTAGGCCCTTCCTTCCACATCTTCATCCTCTTTGAAAATGCCGATGCGTTTGCAAATGGCCACGGCGGTGCCCTTGTTGTCCCCGGTGATCATGATGACACGTATACCGGCCTTACTGCACAGCTTCACTGCACCAATCACCTCCTTTCTGGGCGGATCCAACATCCCCACACAGCCAACGAAGGTGAGATTTGACTAAACAGATGAACAAATTTTGCATGTAATCAAAGACATATAAATTTACATGTACAGTGGCATGAGACTTAATCCACATGCAAAATGTATGAACAAAAGCAATACTGAAAAAGAAGTGGAATCTACAAACAACATTCAAACTCTCTCACCTCATACTCTGAGAACTTGACTGAGTTTTCCAGGTCCATTTTGTCATCAGGAGGAGGAGCGTCTCGTGTGGCCAAAGCCAAGCAGCGCAGTGTGTCTCTGCCTGACCCCCAGTCTCTAATAGTGCTCATCAGCTCCTCCTTCACAGTCATGGTCAATGGGACACGGTCTTTACCAACACGCACAAATTGACAACGGTCGATCACGCTCTCTGGTGCACCCTACATACAGAAAGAATGAAAAGAGAACCAGGTGTAATGCATATAGCAAAGTTTACTAAAGGTATTTATAGATGCCCGATGTTCAGAGTTGGGGGTAACGCAGGGTGTGTAATCAGTTTACTCTTTTTAGAGTAACGGATTAATTCTAAATCTATAACAAAATATTTTTTGTTGTGTGTTCAAATAAGCAACTCAAGTAACTTTGTTTTTCCAAATAAAGACTGGCAGCTCTCCCGTCCTCATTTTGAGAGAAATTAGGAGTGAGGCAGAGGCATTGTGTGCGCTGTGTGAACATGATACTAAATACTAAATGTGCGTATGCTATATTCCTCTCACTTGCACAAAAATAATCATTATTACTCCAAATGAATAAAAACATTGAAATACAAACTCAGAATATTATACAAACCTGCAATAGTTAAATGCAGTAAAACAAACCTACTTTATGTATACTGTACAGGGGTGAGTTTGCATTTCCTTTTGCATTTGCACCTTTTGTACAAAAGGGCCTATATATTTGCCAAAAAATAGAACCTTTTTTTTTCTTTCATTAAAAACAAAAAACAATACCAGCCCAGATGAGAGAAAGTAACACAAAAAAAATAATGCAATGCATTATTTACCATAAAAAGTAAACAAGTAATGCAATTAGTAACTTTTTAGGGATTAATGCAATATTGTGAAGCATTGCTTTTTAAATGTAATTTTCCTCAACACTGCCACTGTTTTTGGATGTGTTTAAGCAAGCAATACCTTGACAAACATCTTGCTCTGAGAGTTTGAGCCATTGGGAGTGCAGTACACAGACATGGACTTCCTGTCTCTGGAAAACTCCAGTGTGAATTTTTTCTGCATGAGTTTTCTGATAATCTAGGGGGAAGAAGGAAAGAAAAAGAGAAGAGAGAATGAGAGATGTTACAGTAAACAAAAGTGAAACACTCTCTGCTATCAGTGTGCATCATGTATGTTGGGTAAAATGCCATTCTCTCAACTGTTTTCTAGGGTTGCCTTCAGACATCACTGTCAAGTCCAGGTGGTTGGAGAAGAGTCTCAAACACAGTAACTGTGCAGTAGATGCAACATTGCAGTAGATTTCTCAAAACATGTTTGGACTTTAATTACAGTGGCAACAGAACATTTCTAAATAGGTTTGAAACTAACCGCAGGGTTAAACAATTCGGCATCCCTGCAAAAGTACACAACATCTAAATAAAAAAGCATTCAAAAGTTTTGGGGTTGGTAGGCTATTTGAATGTGTTTAAAATACGTCTCTTATACTCACAAAGGCTATATTTATTTAATAAAAATAGAGTAAACAGTAATATTGTGAAACATTAGTACAATTCAAAATAACAGTTTTCTATTCCTGTGACGGAAAAGCTGGATTTTCAGTTGCAATTACTCTAGTTCCCAGTGAGAACTATGCTGATTTGGTGGCCAAGAAACATTTCTTAATTGCTTAATCTTAATGTTTTTGTAGAAACCATGATACATTTTTGCAGATTTTTCAATAAATAGAAAGTTAAATAGAAATTTCAAATGTGCAGCATTTATTTTAAATATAAATCTTTTGTATTAATAATTTTGTCTGTGCTGAAAGTATTAAAGGGTTAGTTCACCCAAAAATGAAAATTAAGTCATTAATTACTCACCCCCATGCTGTACCAACCCCGTAAGACCTTCGTTTGTCTTCGGAACACAAATGAAGATATTTTTGATTAAATTTGAGAGCTGTATAACTATCACATTGGCTCCTAAAGGACTGCCTCTTGACGGCCCAGAAAGTCAATGAAGAAAATGTTTAAATATCCCAAGTGACTACCGTGGCTCAACTATATGTTTATCAAGCGACGCGAATACTTTTTGTGTGAAAAAACAAACAAAAATAACGAGTTTATTCGACTATTTCTTTTCTTCCTTGTAGGCCAGAACGAGAATTCCTTAGATTTCCACGACGCATGCGCGAGATTTGCGATCTGCTTACACCGCTTACACTACTTCAGATCGCAATTCTCGCGCATGCGTCGTGGAAATCTATAAGGAAGTCTCGTTCTGGCCTACAAGGAAGAAAAGAAATAGTCGAATAAACTCGTTATTTTTGTTTGTTTTTTCGCACAAAAAGTATTCGCGTCGCTTGATAAACATATAGTTGAGACACGGTAGTCACTTGGGATATTTAAACATTTTCTTCATTGACTTTTTGGGCCGTCAAGAGGCAGTCCCTTAGGAGCCAATGTGGTAGTTATACAGCTCTCAAATTTAATCAAAAATATCTTCATTTGTGTTCCGAAGACGAACGAAGGTCTTACGGGGTTGGTACAGCATGGGGGTGAGTAATTAATGACTTAATTTTCATTTTTGGGTGAACTAACCCTTTAAGTTCTTAAAAAATATTACTGACCCTAAAATTTTGAATTGGTTTGTACATATTTCTAGCAAAAATAAAATATATATTTAGCTAATAATAGAAACTGATCATCCCCCATAATTTTCTGTTAAAGGGGTCATATAATGGTACATGCACTTTTTCAAGTTGATTGTACTGAAAGGTGTGTTGGCAGTGCCTGTACACAACCATCATTTAATGATAAAAATCTACCCAGTGTTTTTGTTTTAATCTCCTTGAGTGCTTTCCCATCTCAAATCGAGCAAGCCCCTCCCACGATTGTTGATTGACAGCAGCATTTCCACACAGACACGCCCTGAGCGAGCTGTCATCATAGTCCGTCATTGTTGAAAGGATTGATTCGCGAATCTTTTTGCGATATTATTTAAAAAAAATAATCGGTACCAACTATTCGTGTTCCTGTTGCACCTCCAGAAGAAGTGAGTGTAAAGTTTTTTAAACTTTTATATTAATCTTTGCAAATCGCTTGCACGCTTCACAATGAATGTGGCTAAAGTTTACACTCAGGGTACATTACGGCTTGTTTTCTGTGTATGACGTTCTCAATATAATTCATAATCACCTGTTTATAATGAACACTGCGTTATGGTTATTGTGTTATTACAAACTAAGTACCGTTACGTATACATCAGGAAACACACAGCGTTCGTACAAATTACCAATTTACTCTAAAGTTACCCTGCCAATAAACTAAGATAGATCAAAGTGACATTAGGTTAACCAACCATTCAGAAACGTCCTGTTTGAGCCTTAATTGTCTAACTTCTTTGGGGCCGCCATCTTATTATGGGTGCGACTCAAAATGCAAAATGATACGGTTGCACAGATGTGTCCTCAGAGACTCCCGCTGCAATTCTTGCTTCAAAATATTCCCTCACGTGGGTTGTGTTGTGTTGTGTCAAAATGCCCGCAGAACAGAGTGGCGAAGTGAGCGAAACTCATTATCATTTAAGGCATATGCAGTGAAACGTTGTTTTCTTACAATACTAATGAGAATTTTTAATTAAAGTATATTACAAACTTTTCATTTAGACCCTAAAGAATCAAATTAACGTGTATGAAAATGGCATTATGTGTACCCTTTAAGTATTCACTTTTGAAAATAAATAAATGAAATAAAATAACCACAAAAAAAAAAAAAAAAATTGCAAGAGAAACATTCAGTGATGCAAGAGCATTATTTTGCCACTAGGTGGAAACCACCTCCATCACATGAAAACAAAGCATTTACTGTACACTGACCTACCTACTTACTCTGTAGCTGTTTCTCTCTGTGGCTCTGTTTTATATTGGGATCAGATGATCTACTCAGTTATTCTACAGATGTTTAGATAAGGCATGCATGTGTGAGAGAAAACCAGTGACTCCTGTTTCTAGCTTATCTGAGAACAACACGACGTCATTCCTTAGGTTTCCTGTGTTCTCAATCCTCAACAGCTTTAAAAAAGAAAAACAAAATCTAACTCCCTATTACATCAATTAATGTGCCCATCCAACCATCTGACATGTTTGAAAGTGTACCACCAATATGTAGAGACAGAAGAAATGTCTCTTTTTTTGTTTCCATAGGGCAGTGAAGTTTTGGATCAGAGTGGAAAGTTTAGATAACCAGGCGAGTGTATGAAGAGGTTATCTAAATATTATGCTTTTCCTCAGGGAGTCTGTGTGACTAAGTTTCTTTTTTTGGACAAGAAAATGATTCAGGGGTCAGCAGAATAAAGAAAGTGGTGCTGGTCATTCACTCTTTCAGAGAAAAATGATTCCCGTAGGGAAGAGGGGGGGGGATCAAGACTAGTCCACTGTTCCAATGTTTTTATTTTGTCCCAGTGGTCTTTCACATCATACTTAAACCAAATGGCATGCATGCATTAAGTTTATTAACTTGTGTAAGTGTTTGTGTTAGAGACATTTCCCATCATGTTTTCAGGGCTTTGGTGAAAATCATTTTGTTTATATGCAAAAGAAACACGCCTACACACACACACACACACACACACACACACACATAAACACATTAGTGCTGTCAATACATTAAAAAACATTTCAATTAAATCGCACATCTCTAATTGCTATCAATCACACCTACTGTAACATTCAAGTTTTTTTAAATATATTTGCGTGTTGTTTTAATTTGAAAGCTGAAATTTGAAATTTGAATGCCATGGACAACCTGGTGTTCCACGAACGCCACCTTTGGCTGAATTTGATGGAGGTCAAGGAAGCAGACAAGACAGCCCTTCTGGACTCTCACTTGGGTCTATTACGTTCCAGAGTGGATGGTTTTGTGGAGCATTTTATAGCATCCCAAAAGTTGTCGCAGGCGATATGCCACTTCCTGCCAAGGCAGGCCAGTTCTTCCTCTGCCTTGAGTCACCCAAAGTCGTTGTCAACTCAGCAGCGCGTCAAGCTGGCTCCCGCAACGGCTCAACCCCAGGCGTAATCCAAGGTGAAGCAGTGCTTCCATCCAGCTAAGCGCTACCCGTTACCTAGGAAATCGCCCCATCTATATCAGTTGGGGTTAGAACTATGCTAAGTGGAGACTCCATCCCCAGGTGGTCCGCATGATCAGAAGCCTTTTTGGGCAAGTAGAGGTGGACCTCTGAATCAAAAGAAAACTCCTACAGACCAATGTTCTTCGCAAAGGAGAAGGCACATTAGCCAACAGGTGGCCTCCTCTGCACCTTTACACCTTTCCTTTGGTAGCTCTGCTCCCTCAGGTCATCTATCGAATCAGGTAGGACAGATGCTCGGTTTAACTTGCAAAACCAACCGTGGTTCCTGGGGATGGTTCAGCTGCTATCAGCAGCACCATGGCCAGTTCCATTGAGGAGGGATCTCCTTTCGCAGGTAGGAGGGTCAATTTGGCATCCCGAACCAGAGTTGCAGAGCCTCCAACTATGACCTTTAGACGGGAGCCATCATGTCTTTCCAGGAGGTCATGAACACGATCTCTGAGGCTAGGGCACCTTGTAACAAGGACAAGGCTATGTGCCCAAGGTGCTTTCCATTCCCTTCAGAGCACAGGCAATAATGCTTTCGGTTCTCCCCTCCACTGAGGATGAGCAGACGCCGCACTCACTGCGCTAGTAGCATGGTGGTATTGAACTGCGTTCCACATAAGAATAACGCAAGTGATCCGTATTGAAAGGGAACTTTCTGGTTACAAGCATAAACTTGGTTCCCTGAGATAACAAGAATGGGCAATGCGTAGCTTGCTGTGTTACTGTGCTTACACGAGAGTTGGCGCTACCGCTCCTTAATCAAAAAATTCTGATGAAAATGACTGTCAGCGTGACTTAAATAGGCTGTAGGCCCCGCCCGTTTCAGTGGGCTAAAAGGCCATTTGTCTGTGCAGAAGCAACAATAGCAGGTTTATAAGGCTGCTATCACTTCAAGACCTGACACACGTAATGCAGATCTGACACGCATCACAATTTCTCACATATCTACGTTAATTTAAGACCTCGCTTAACTCATTTAACTGTGCTTGCAAGGATCCTCGACAGAACGGCCATGTTTTCATTTCTTTTAAATGTCCTGTCTTGCACTACCGACCAAACTTTATGAGCTGTAATATTTCTTTTGAAGCTTCAAATATCTATCGCTCCATTTTATCGTTTTTCATCACTAACTCTCCTGTTATGTTCTCTTTTATTGCAGTCTGTCTCATATCCTGGTGCACACCATGGTTCCCTTCTTACCAAGTTACAAGCTCCAGCTCGGTCCACTTTGCTCAGTCCAGAGAGATCCGTTTTAAACACGTTCATCTTCTCAACCAGTGTTGTGAGTGCAGTTTCCGTGGCCTCACCCACTTTCTCGTACACTCCTTTAGCCTGAGGGACAGCATAAGCACAGAAGTCTGTAAACATTCAGTGCTCAATCAGCACAAACATCATGAAGTCTATGGCACTTGCATAATCATTTAAAACATACGACTAGAGTCAAGCACTCACTTCACTGTACAATGTGCACTTTAAATGTTCTTAACATTTTTGTCCAGTTAATTTTCATGCCTTTCCCAGTCATTCTTGATTACTGGATTATATATTATTTTTATGAAAAGCACATTTTGATTAAAAAAACAACAACAATAAAACAATAATATAATGAAATATAATTACAATTTTAAATAACTTTCATTTTAAAATATATTTTAAAATGTAATTAAATTCCTGTGATGGCAAAGCTAAATTTTTTAGCATCATTACGCTCTTCAGTCTAGTGATTCTTCAGAAATCATTATTTCTATTTCTTATATAATCATATAATCATTTACTGCTCAAGAAAGATTTCTTATTATCAATGTTAAACAGTCCTGCTTAATATTTTTGTGAAAACAATGATTTCTTTGATGGAAAAATTAGAGCATTTATTTAAATGGAAAGCTTTTTTAACAATATAAATGTCTAAATGAGAAATTTATAAACAGTGATATATTGTAAAATTATTATTATTTTGGTGTTATATAACATTTCAAGACTATAAATCACAATTTTAAATCTATAGAATATTTCCAGGTTTTCCATGACTGTGGGAATCTGGTTTGTAACTGTAGTGACTGCACTTAAAGATCATGGGCTGTCACTATTCCTCGATTAAATTAGAGTACTCGATTTAATTTAATTTTGAAAAAATTCTGGATTTTACACATAGAATTTACAATGGCGGGTAACCGGCAAGATCCCAGAAGTGGCGCATTCCACAGAAAAGAATCCATGAACAGCATTATTAGATTTCTAGATTTCTAAGGCTGCACAAAGTATTGAAACCATTAAAAAAAACACACACACACACACACACACTAGAGCATAGATCATGCTATTATTGAGTGTTTTAATTATTTACATGCTTGTAAGTTACGCGTGTCTCTGTTCACAGATGAACCATTATCATTTACATATGTGGAGCGCGTCTCAAACTCTATTTCTGCATGCTGCGAGTTTGGGTTACTTAAACGTTCATCTGGAAACGCAATGTGCGCCATTTCATCAGATTTGTAAGGGAAATCATTTATAAATCTACGCCAACAAAAAAGAATACATCATTTGTTTCCAAATATGCACAATGTTAATTACGATTTAAAAAAAAAAAAAAGTCTAAACCCTTGCTCTGAGTTTGCATGTTTTGATGTCCACATTTTCTAGTTCAAGAAATGACAGTGGCTGTAGCATTTCTATTTTAAAGAAGTTGCCAAATATTAAAGATTAAGTTAACATTTGAATTCAATATTGCTTAGCCAATAATAAACCAGGATTTGATCTACTGTAAAGTGCACCAACACCAGGGTGTGGGTGCCCTCTGCAGGCATTTGTTATACATAACCTATTGAACATAAGTTGATTTATGTATAAATTATACATTTTCACATTTTATTTTGATACTTTATTTGAAACAATTATTATTGCCTCATAGTTATTATTTATATATGAAATTTAAGTCATTTTAAAAGCTATTGTTTACTTAGGTCTGTTTTTTATTACTACAAAAAATATAGTGATGGCCCTAACAGTGTGTTCTAGGCTAATATTTGTTACTTGTCATTTAAGCACATAGCTCCTGTGTAAACATCTATAATGGTTTATTAGATTCACAGGTACTTTTATGGATGGTGTTTAACTCTGTCCTGAAATATTTGCATTATTCCAGGAACCAGGGTGCTGTGGCAGTGAAACATGACTAGCTTTTACTCAGCTAGCGATTATTTATCCTATTAACCCTTGTGCATCCTTGTGGACATTTTTGTCCTTTTCAGTTTAGTTTTTTTGATCACTTTGCCTGTGTTAAAGCTAACTGCAAAAAACTTGGCACAGGTGTGTATTTTTATTGGAATTTTACTATTTCACCGTCATTTTCTTAAAAAAATATTTTTTGCATTAGGTACAAAAAATACTCACTCTCAGCCCCTTTTGGACAAAAATGTCCCCATTGAAACCCATTAAAACTGCCATTTTTAATCCCCGGTTCAGTTAACTATAAAATTGTGCAATCTTTGTTAAGAGGCTTTCATTCTGATGGCAAGGCTTCAAAATTTCAGATTATCAGATGGTGTCATTTTTTTTAAGTTTGGCCTATAAAACAAATGTCGCTTTATTCCTGTTTTCTGGTTCGGCATACTATAGAGCCAACTGGATAAATTATGCAACGATATTTGTGTGGGTGTGTTGGTATGGATGTCAGAGTGTGATTAGTATGTGTGTTATAAAAAAATATGTGTGTGTGTACGCATGTGTGTGTTTGTCAGACTGAGAGAGAAAAACTGCAAATTCAAAAAATCCAATCACTGTGAGCTCCAGTGGGGTTTTACTGGGACCCAATGGGGAAAATATGTTACTACGCCCAAACAAACTGTTACCGAAAGCTCATTTTTTGAGATATCATCCTCAAATTTGAACACAACCTATTTAGATTTATGGCTTTGATTTTATTGTAGTTTTGAGTTCAACCTGATTTAAAAAATATATATTTTATATAAAATATTATTTTATAAATAATTTTCATAAACTTATACCTATATAACTTTTTTTTGGATTTACTTATTATTATTTTTTTACTTCAGCAATAATCTGCAAAGGGTCTTCTTTAAAATGATACCAAACTTAAGTCTGTGCTCCAAAGAGTCACGTTTTTATGACAGTTTTTTGACATGGACATTTTTGTCCTCTTTTTACCTATGTGTAACTTTTTTTAATTGATGCACAAGGGTTAAAAACATAAAGTAATAAGACATTTTTATAAATATTTGCTTGATATTGTAGATTTAGTGGTGTCATTTAACTTTAATATTAGATTGGGTGCCTTTAACAACAAAGCATGCTTTAAAAATCTTCAACTTGTCCTAACTTGCATTGTCATTTACCCTAACCGACAACCACAGAAAACGCAATGATATTTACGCAACAGTAACCATGATACGATGGCAATGGCACAGAGGTGAGAAATACAAGCCAAAAAGCTGTCTGTCCCTAAAGAGCACAGTGTGAATAGTTAAGACTTCAGCAATTAGAGTAGGACAGACTCAAAAACACTGAACAAGACTCATTTTGTTAAACTCAAAGGGGGAAATATGGCAACCGAGGCTTGGATGCAGGAGAAGATCCACACACACACCACTGACCTCATTATAGTCCAGTGAAGAGTCGTTGCACAGGGAGCAGACAGTAGCCAGTTCCACTAGACCATCATAATCTCCACACTGGACAGGCTTGTCGGCTTTCAGCCTAAGGGGGAGACAGTTATTGCAAGATAAAGGGATGTAACTGCAAACTAAGTATCCAGAATGAGTATTAGATTATTTAGAGGAGGAGGTAAAAATGCCAAGATGTTTTGTGAAGGATCAAGGACACAGAGTTTGTTTGTGTGTGTTCTTACACTTGTCCCTCCGGAGCATAGGTTGAGCCGGTGATGGTGAACTCATGCAGAGAGCAGCTGGTGTCATCAGCCTTATTAACCACAAACATCTAAGAGAGACAGAAGTGAGATAGGGAGAGAGACAGCATGAGAGACATGGAGATTATCAAAACATATGATACTGCACATCAGGCTTACAAATTCTTTTGGACATTTCATTTCTATGACTTCTTTCCAGTTGTTCATGATTATTGGATTAGGATTGTTTTTTTCAGAGATTGCACTCAGAAAATGTGAAAAAAATATGATATATTAATAAAAATAAATTATACATTCATAGATTAGAAAGTTTGAAAGAACATAATTTATTTGAAAAAAGTGTTTTTTTCTTTCTTTCTTTTTTACAATGTGAAAGTCTTTACTGTCCCTTTTGACCAATTTAATGCTTAACGAAAGAACTCCAAACTTTTGAATGTAACATAATAATAATACTAATAAAAAAATTCTTATTGTTGAACCTTGTAAAAAAAATATAGAATGCAAAATATAGAATGCCCACTACAGAAACTATCATGATGCTTATCCGTTAAACATTTAAAAGTGTTTTTTTTTTTTTTTTTTGTAATTAAATAAGTTGGAAAAACAAGCTCCACAACCGTGCCTAAGAAAACATTCAAAGCTAAAAGGTTAAAAGACGAACAAGAAAATAAGTTCACCAAGGCATCTGAAAATAGTTACAACCCCCAATTGCATTAAAAAAAAAAAAACAGCAGCGAAGAAGAAGAAAAAAAAAAACAACCACCAACAGACAGTTGTGACTCCACCCAATCAGCTCTGGGGTTTCCCTCATCCCACAGCCAATCAGAGGCAGAGCAATGATGTCATAATGCACTGGGTAGGTTCCTGTGTTTAATGGCCTGGCATGAGCTCTTCCCTGTCTGAACCAACACAACACAACTGCCAACAGACAACACAGACTACAATAAACTACTGCCTCCTACTGAAATGTCTGCTTTCAATAGATCAAATGAGGTGAAAAAAAGAGCAAACTAATAACTTTGCCCATGTTTCAGCAGAGATTTGTCCAGTTTTATTATAACTCCAGGTGTTGTACTGTACTGTGTTGTGTTTAGTGTGCACAACCAAGGCTAAGTTGTACTGCGTTACTGAACCAAATAAAGTGTTTCTGATTTTTGGAATCAACACCACAAGTGTTTAAAAAAGCTAAACAACATGAGAGGTGAAGATGAGTTCAGCCTGACAACCTCAGACAAATCAGCAAAACCCATAATGCAATGCTTTTGGATTTTTATTTATTTATTTATTACATCTTTGTCTTTGCTACGACATTCATCACACTGAAACGAGTCAGCAGGAGCTGTGGCAGCCCTAGGCGTGTTTTAGCAGAGAGAAGAGCGATCTTATTTTCTCACTATCCCCTTCCTCCAGTATGTGGGCGTAGGGCATGAAACAGCTGGATGGTGGAATGGAACTCATAAAGCCAATTTGGCGAAAACCATTGATCGCACTCCCCACCTTTCTGTTTGTATGACAGGTCTGAAATGGAGGTGCGCGCTGGGAACTAGTAGAAATGACTAATGATCTTATGAGGTGCCGTAAACCTTGACTATGCCGGTGGACTTGCTGAAATGTGTTTTATCATGATTAAAAGCCACGCTCGAGCTCAAGTTGCATGAACACTGAAACACACACAAACTAACAAAAGTAGGTTCTTATCAATATCCGCACTCTGCTCAATAATGAGTCATCTAAACGTAGACATCGCTAAAACAACACTAGCCAAGCAACCACGTATGGGCAGTTGCTTAAAAAGAAAATCATATGAAAGGTTGTCTCAAACGTACACAATTGTACAAACATGCAGAGGGAAAAACATCCTCTCTTGGCATGACTTCACTCACAGCAAGACTCCATTAAATGTGTCTGATTAAAGAATTAATGGAGCAGTTCAATTGTAAAACTTTCAGAGTTCCACAGTACTCCTGTTTCCTGTTTGAAATGGACACACATACACAAAATTAAAGAGTGGAAAACACAAAGCGAGCGGCAGGCAGCAGCAGCAATCAGAGGACTGGGTCATGCCCCTGAGCCCTTAAAATAAACGGATTATTGAGTTCGCTTGCTTTGCTGGAAAGAACAGTCTTCTCAGGCAAAACAAATGTCTTTATAAAGTAATGACCAACTTATCATAACAACTACTGGTACGCAGTGCCATTTCTCTGCATTCGTTAAGCTAACTAACATAAAAGAGCAAATAATTAGATGCATATTTTGGGAACATTACAGCATGCGATTGCTGCTTTTTGATTGTTGGAACAGTGGGCCAGCTGATTCCAACCACAAGTTACAAAAGCAGCAGGTTCTCTTTTCTAGTAAACACTATTTTTGTGGTCTGCTTCTCTGGTCTTTAACTACACTGGAATCTGTACCGCTCGATTTCCACAGTCAAACACAAGGCAAACAGACATTCGCAACTGGGCAAGAGGAAATAGAAGAAAATTAGACCCAGTTGCCTGCCCACTATCACAATGTACCCCTATGTTTGGTTGTAAGTTCATCTTTAGATATTTATTTATAGACCTGCATATCACCCCAATGACATGTTCTACAAATAAGCCCTACTCTTCATGTATACCGACTTTGTTACGTAACTTTATCATTCTTTCAGTGTTGAACCAATTACCATGGTTTAAAATATTAAATATTAATAATATTTACTAGAGCTGTCAAACGATTAATCGCGATTAATCACATCCAAAATAAAAGTTTGTGTTTACATGATATATGTGGGTGCACTGTGTATAATTATTTTGGATATTTATAAATACACACACATGCATGTATATTTAAGAAAAAAATATTATTTATATATAAAATATTTATATTTATATGTATAATATAAATTATATATAAATCTATATACATGAAAATATCTCCTCAATATATACTACATGTGTGTGTATTTATATATAGAAAATAATTATACACAGTGAACCCACATATATATTATGTAAACACAAACTTTTATTTTGGACGCGATTAATCGCAATTAATCGTTTGACAGCCCTAATATTTACATATTATATTTATTTAAATATTAATACTATTAATATTCACAATATTTTAATCAATTCTGCTAAATAGAAGATTTTGCCACACAAGAATATAGACTTCTTTTTATGACCCGAGTAAATTAAATGTATATTTTGCATAAAAAGCATTAAATAACACAGACGCAGCTGGAAAATTTCCATAATGACCAACATAATCTACCAAGGGCAGAGCAAATTAGCTTCTGGTTTAAGACGTTCTTTTTTGAATAATGGCGCAAATGCATATGCAATAAGGTCAGACGCAAAGATAACAAATTTTTCACTGTGTGTCTTTTGTTTACAGTCATTTATAAATCAGATCTGCGCCAAAAACACCAACAACCATCCCGTAACTTGGCAGACAAGGAACTGTGTTGCGATACGTTGTCATAGCAACAGATACCAGGGAACAGGGTAGCATGCAGTGATATGCAATGATGAGCCTTGATAATGATATGTGTGTGTACTGTACAGTATGTGTGTATGCGTTTCACAAGAGTGGAAAATAATTTTAGACACCTGTGTTTCCGCCTGATTTAGCCAAAGTGACTTCCGCTGTTCCGCATTAGTGCCAGTGACACTTGGATGATGTCTGGTCTCCAAAAAGGCACACAGTGGGTTGATTGGCTTAGGCGATCCTGTACAACATTGCGACATAGTGACAGCACTAATTCCAAACCGAGGATAAGCATCTTGTCTGTCCCTATAATAAGCCTCTCAGAGCAGAATGCTTTTAGTACTTAACATTACGAGGCACAGGAGGTTTAACAGAATGTTGAATCCATTTGGGAAACATTTCCACAAGCTTAATTTTAAAATTTTGTCTTGCATGTGAAAATGTCTTTTCTTCTTTTTCTTTAGGGACTCTTTAGGTGATTTTGTCAGTGCTTCAGGCTGAGGCTGACATTGTTACCTGTTCCCCACTGTGGACTACGAGATTGGGGGAAAAAAGAGCAACAATCAGACAGACATGTATTTAACTCTGCTTCTAAATTGAAACTGGCCTCAGATTATTTGCAGAACTTTAATATGTATGTCTCTTTCCTATGTTCATATGTGATGAAATTTGTTAATGTCTAATATTAATTAATATTAATGGAAAAGGAAAATCAAAACAAGGACTATTTGAACTGTGTTCAAAATAAAGAGTAATTTAACACAAAAGGCACCTAGTGCAACAATACAGTACGTTACAGTGAATAGTCCGCATTAAGCTTTCTAAACACGTGTGACCGTGACTCTGCATCCATTCTTGGATCGTGCTGCAGCGGGAGCAGACGCAAGGAGCGTGAGTGGCATAAAAACGAAGGATTGCAGGCGGGAATCCCTTGCTGGGTAATATGCTGAAGACCAACGTATGAAAGCAAGAGGATGAGAAAAAAAAGGCTATCAGAAAGCACAAAGTCCAGCCTGGACGAATAAAAGCGGGCAAAGCAAAGATGTAGCTGTAGTATATGACCTATAGTATGTCATAATCAGCCAGCCCAGTGCCCACCACACCATAATCCTGCTGACAAGAGAAGCTAAAAGCAAATCCATCGAATATTTTTCGATTCAAATCCATAAATATTTGTTTACATATATTTACAGCATTATAAAAAAGTGAATGGGGTTTATTTAGCATTTATTGAATATTTCCCTGCTGAATAAAAGTATTAAAAGAATCATGAACTGCATTTTTCTGCATTTTACATAAAAAACATCCTAATTTAGAAGTAATAGGCTATTATGCTGTTTTTGAACTTCTCTTTGAAACAGTTTTATGGCCTTGCCACATTTAAAACTTGGAAGAAAAACCATAATTTCTATGATTGGGTAACAGTTTTGCATATTAAAATCATTTTCGAGGTTCCCACACGTGTGGAATTGTTTTGAAAATGTCAGATGTTGAAAAATAGCAACCGGTGAAATTCAGCCATGCGTATTTGAGCCAGAGTCCGGTCGTGAATTAGAAAGACAACGAACCTACACCTCAAATACACAGGATACTCCGGTCT